CCCCAAAACCCCAAAACCCCAAAACCCCAAAACCCCTTAAATAAAATCTATAATTGAAATGCAGCTTATAAGCAAAACTTATTGACTATGGCCTCAGGGCATTCCATGCACAAGTGAGAAGCTATCAACTCAAGGATATCTGTCTTCGAGTAGTCGTAGTTGGTCACAGCTTTCTCTGAGTTTAAGATCAACGACATTAAGTCGAAGGTTCTGGCAGCAGGCTCTTCAGTCAGGTATGTTTCGATATAAGTCTTTTTCGCGTGGATATTGATCAGAGCTTGCCACTTGGCCCCGTTTTTAAACACCCCGATGTATCGGGATCTTCTTGAGCTAGCTTTGCGAGATCTTGGATTTACTTTTTGTTTCCCATACACTAGTACCTTGGCATCGTCAGCAATTTGGTCAAGGTATCTATAAAGCCTCTCAAGTTTGGCTCGAAGATAAGCCGTTCTTTTCCTGATAAATTTGTCTTGAATTGTTGTTTCTGGCTTTGTGATCATTAAACTTTGAGAAGGTTCCACCTTTTCAAGTGGCTTGTCTCGACTGCAACCACAGTAAGAACTCAGCCCTTCGAGCTGGCAGATGCAATAGCTAGATAAATCTAGAGAGCACTCGCAGTAGTTGCTCTGATCTACATCCATTGGCATGACTACACAAGTGTCCATTATTATGAGCTGGGGAGCATAGAGCTCAAGGGCAAGTTGATAACTCTGGAAGTCTAAAATTTGAAATTCCATATTCATGATAAAATATTATTTGTCTGAATCTAAAATTTTTGCTTAAATAGTTTTGAGTGAGGAGTGGTATGATAGCAGAGCATTACTTTTCATTCTCCAGATTTGTCTAAAATTCTGGGGAAATAAGGTGGTAATATAATTAAAAATGAAATTATTTAAAATGAGCTCTTTTATTACCAACAAATCAGGTGACTTCAAATTATTATTTCTTGGGTAAATTTATTAATTATTAACTAAGCCTATATCCTTGAGAAGTCTTCATGAATCGTTAAAGGGCATCATTCGAATCATGCTAGGTGTCTTACCAAACGAATATAATAGTCCTTTCGAACTATGATAGTCGTAGCAAATAACTTCAAGTTCCTCTGAACTTACCAATTCAAGTGAATGGTCGAAGGAAGATGGAATGAATTGCATTATTATTCTTTCTTAATGAGTTTTTATAATTAACCTGATAAATGTCTTCAGATTACATTTTAATAGCTCAAAAGTTCAAAAGGTTGCATCAGGCATGATTTCTTTGGGTAAATTCCTCATCTGATATTTAGAGAGTTTCATGTAAATGCCAGAAATTTTGAAGAATTATTTATAATTAATAAAGATGTAAAAATTGTCTATTTATTGCTTTCATTAAATTTATTACCATTCATTAAGCAATAAGTTTGGTGGAAATTTAGCAAAATCAAATTCATCCTAAAATCTTTGCACTTGGAGAAGATATTTCTGCTCCTGAGGTAGGCTCATTAAGGCGAGAAAGGTTGAAATAAGTCCTGGGTGAAGCGTGAAGAAAGAACTTTTACCTTTTATTCTTCAATAATTTATTCTCTTCCTACACTAAATATCTTTAGTCAAATTTAGAGGTTAGCCTACCTACTCTATCAGTTAAACTAAGAACAAAAATTTTGAAAATTTATTGTGAAATAAAAGCTTACCTTGAAAGGTAGGCTTGACTTTAATTACAAAAAGTTTAGCCCTACAAGCAGAGAAGAGTTGTAACTAAAGAGTGTTATGCTCTCTTCATACTAAGTCTTTAACTCCTAATCTAGTTTGGTTAAACCCCTCTTAATATTTGTTTTAATAAAAGCTTCTGCCATCTTTCAACTATCTGCAGAATTCTCGGGGTTTTGGGGTTTTGGGGTTTTGGGG